AAAACGTGAGATTCAAATGAAATAAAACACATCTGATTATTCAAAGAGTTTATAAGATGGGTAAGAGTCACAGAATGGCCTAGGCTAGAAGGGACCACAGAGATCATTTGTAATCCAGCCTCCCTGCCGCCAGGGACGCCACCTCTCAACTAGATCAGGCAACACATGAGGACCAAACAGGAATCGAACTCATGACCTTAGCATTGTTAGTGCCATGCTCAACTGACTGAGCTAACTGGAAGAGTCCAAATCATGCTGCTGGAGTAAGTCCTCCAAGGGAGATGTTGAGGGGCAAAATGGACTTTAATTACTTAAAATAATTCAGATGGTCTTGAGTGTTTGGCCAGAAATCTATAGCACATACATATTATAGGAGATCTTGCTGTCTTGTGTGATTGTGTGGTGCTGCATGATATGGGAAAGAATGCTGAGAGAGAAGAGAAGGGAATAATACAAGGTATAGACTTTATCGTTAGTGGAGTGGCGAGTGCGGCAGTTTGTGGATCATCTGTGTTGCAGGTTCTTATACTTTCAAATTCTCTACAACTGTAACTACTTCTCTTATGTTCCAGTTAGAAAAACTTGTGGGGGATGTTGATGTTTTGGGAAGTATTTGGTTACAAATGCTTGGCTGCAGATGTTTGAGGCAAGTTGGAGGAAAAGCATCTACCACCATTTCTGTGTCTACAGCCAGCAGTTCTCTTGTTCCTTACTGGTGCTTTGGGTAATGGAGGTGGTGAGTTCATGCTTTGGCACTGACATAAATCACAGTTACAGTGATGCATACTGCACCTGCAAATCCTGACTGACAAAACAGTGATCTTGCTCCACGGATCATTTAGTCTGTAGATTATTCTCTAATTGTTAACGGAATAGAATATCCCTCGATGAAAAACAAAACTGAATAACGTATTGAATGTATATCACCTATTAAACCAGAGATTTACTGTCAGCAGTGCTTTTTGAAGACACCACAGAAATGAGCAGCAGAGAGAAGTATATTGTAGATACCTGAGTTTATTTGTTTATTTCCAGTAAGAAAAATGCTAGAAGTCAGCACCTTGACTTAATTAGCTGATGCAAATATGATGGCCACCTATAGGTCACAGAAATTCATGATGAAAATCATAGTCTCATTTGCCAAAAGATCACAGAATTAAGGTCCAGAGATTGATATGTTTTAAAGCAGCATTTGAAAATAAATTGCAGCAGGAAAAAGGGTTGCAGCAGGGTAGGGATCAGGTGAAATTATTTTCATTTAATAGGATACTTAGTTTGAACTCCTAGTTAATGACTTCATATTGCTATAAATGGTTTTCAAGGTTTTTGTCTTCCTGACAGTAGAATTGCAGGCTCAAAATTTGTGTGGTGCAACATACCACCTACTTTACAGTTCCAATTCATCTCTGTCAGACCATGTAGCTAGGAATCACAGCCTTGAAACTCACCTGTAATAAACGTAAGGGTTTTCATGCAGCTTTTTAAAAAAACATAGGCAACTTTAATGTTTACCTAGGTATTGATATATCAAGGTGAAATGCAGTATAAGGAAATAATTCATATTTACATTTTTTTAAAATCTCATACAAAAATATTAGAATCGTAGAACCATTCTGATCGGAAAAGACCTTAAAGATCAAGTGCAACCGTTAACCTAGCCATACCGTATCCCTAAGCACTTCCTCTACACGACTTTTAAACACCTCCAGGGATGGTGTCTCCACCACTTCCCTGGGCAGCCTCTATATGGCAATATCATTTATTGTCATTGCTTTTGGAATTACCTGTATGGAAGCTTGCATGTAATATTCTTGACTTGAGCCCAGGCATCTCTTTGGATGCAGCCTATTTGATCAATAGGTATGATTAAACCGAGCAGTGCAGAGTTTGTCACAGAAATATGTTTTCTGTAAATAGGAATACAATTCAGACCTAAAGATAGAATGAGGCCATTTAACCAAAGTGAAACAAATTATGATTGTTGTGGTTAATTGTTAAAATTGTTAATTTTAAGGGCTACTGTGCAGGTTTGACACAAAGTTTTGGCTTTGTTATAACTGACTGATTAAACTTAACCCCAAAACTAGCGTCTCTGTGACACTTACAGATTAGGGCCCCCCCCAGTGCATATAAGAATCCCACGCAAGTGGAGAGAAGTGCGTAAATTGGAAAATTACAGTTATTTCAAAGCCCTCCAAGTCTGCAAAATAAAAAGACCAACATGTGCCTCACACAAAAACTCCTCTTCAAAAATAAACCATTTTTGTAATATACCTTGGAATTTTGATGAAGTCTTTTGGATTGTAAAGTAAACTTTAATACTAACTAAATTTTTTTCTCTTTGCTCAGTACTTTACATTTCAGAAGCAAGTCAAGGAGTACACATAGTTAGCATTCAGACTTTGTTTTTTCTCTGGCATGTCTTCTGGCTTCTAAGACAAATACTGAACTGTAGATGTCAGTTGTGCCAATGCACACATACACTCCCTCTCCACATTGTTTCCCATGACTCTTAAAGTTCAAAAGCTCTCTAGCAGCTTAAAAAATCCTTCTTAATATAAAAGCAGTTGGTGCCTATCTTTTTTTTGTTCCTTACATAAAGTTAGTTTGTTAGAAGCTTCCAAATATACTTGATGTGAAATCAAAATAAACCAAGCATGATTTTTTATGTGAAAGCTTTTTACTTGGCAAACTTAATGTGATAAACCAGCAGACACTCTATGTGCTTTCAAGTATGTTCTGATTCATACTTCCTACAGTTTTTTAAACTTGAAAAATTGCTATATATGAAGTTCTACTGATTTGGAAAATTAAAATCAAGGTCTATCGTTTAAGATAGCTCTGACATATTCCCTAAAGAAAGACGTTTTATGCATAAAACTTGCCTCAAAACCTAGCATTCCTGTGCATGAGCAGTAGAGCTCTGAGACTATATTCACTCAGAGAAATACCCGATTCTTTTCTGGGTAAACATCCATTATTTGTATATCTTGACACTTACGTACATTTTCTTTCTAAACCACGCTACACAGCCTTTTCCTGATATTTGCAACTTTATAAACATTAAGTAAAAGTCTTTACCTTTTAATCTTTTGCTGGTGGCTTTCTGTTTTATCCTTTACAGAGGAACTCCTGAGGTTAAGCTTTGGTATAATCCGAAAAACATTTCTTTTGCATATTTTCCTAAGCAACGCATCTCGAGTGGCATTCCTTGAAGTATTTTCTGCATGCCTTCCCCTTCTAGTTTTTATCCGTAGTTGTCCGAGCGTTCCTCTTTAGGAGCGGTGTTTTGAGAGAGAACCTGACTTGTGCAACTGCCATATAGACAGTGCACATCGCTTACTTTCTACTCAAGGAATCTGGTTCTGCCTGTTTGAAGCCCAGCCTCGCCGAGAGGCGGATCCCTGCTGCTGGATCTCTTGCCCGGGACCAGGAAGGGTTGGGGAGCAGCTTCTCCTGGAAGCGAGCATGACCTACCTCATGTGAGCGCAGGCATTGCTTTCATCTACACTAAAGCACGAAGAGAAAGAAAAAGTAAGAGTAGGTCACGGATCTATTAATGTGTTTATCTGAAGAGGAAAAAAAAAAGCTCAACCAGCAAAATAACACCTTTGTAAATGGAGTTAAAATATTTGTAAGTTTTGAGTGGGCAGGACTCTGCAGCAGGATATATATGACCTGTGCAAAATCACTTTAGTTTTTGGGAAGTGTATAGGTAGAGAAAGCTGTTTGGATATGCTCTTTTCCAGTTACAGCACTTCAGCTGTGCTTTTTTGAATTCTGCCAGTATTGTGACAGGAGTGCTGTGGAGAAAACGGAAGCTAATTGACCAGAAAGATAAATCTTACACCTTTCAAGGTATTAGAAGTTAAAAATCAGCAGCTACTGCAAGTTATAGGACATTAGTGTCACACTCACACTGAGCTATGCAGCTGACTGGCATTTCATTCTGCTTCAGCTGTGCCTTGTAAACTGTGCAGTCCAGTAACATAATAAATAGTCTAGTTATTTAATCTTCAGGTGACAAAGGAATGGGCTGTGGCAACAAACTCTGTGTTCAGAAGTATTTTCTTCAGTTAGATCTAGATGAATTGACAGCACTGCTGAGGAATGCTTTTTGAGACTAAGGGGCAGTGCAGCAGGATTTTCAGACTGCAACAAGATAGGTTATGTGAGGAGAAAAAAAAGCGAAGATAACTCTTTCCAATCTTTCAGTTACTTTCCATAGCTTTCTTGAATTGCATTTCAGTTTTCCCCTGGTTTAGCTTTGGCCCTATTTGATAGCTGAATGCTGAGAGGACATTACTTGTTCTAGCTGGTTGGTGAGAAGGAATAGTGCCAAAGCATCATAAGCATATTGAAAATGTCATTTTGTCTGTATGTGGATTGAACTATAGTTAGTTAGGCGATCTCTGCATGACATCAAAAACAGTAGTGTAGAAGTAATTTTTGTTGGGTGGGAATGGATTATCAAAGGAGGCATGAAAAGGAGAGCCTTATGGTCTTTCTGGCTCTGCAGGCAAGTCAGCAGAGTTTTGACTGTCAGTAGGATGCAGGGGTTTTTATCCCCCAAATCATGATAAATAAGTGAATATTTTTGGATCAGATATAGTTAAGACTGATGAAGATTAAGAGAAAATGGACATTTGAGCTGTCTTTCTATGATCTCCCTCATAAACTTTTCTTGAAAAGAAAGATTAGTGTTGATGTGGTGCTCAGGGACATGGTTTAGTGGTGGACCTGAGATTGGACCAATTGACATTGGAGTCAGTGATCCAAATTAAAAGATCCTATGATTCTATCACCAGCAGTTTGCTGAGGTGAATAACTTAAGCATTTGGGATGTTTATAATTTCTGGACAGCCCTCTTATCTTTGTTGTAGTTACTGGTAACAGTGTTGAAAGGAACATAACCTCTGCTTCAGGTGTATGTCTGTGAAATAGTGAGTATCATTTTCTGGGTGGTAAATCAGATTTCTTTTGTGCCTTTTGAAAAAGACATGCTATTGGCTGTAAGGTTGGATGCAGTTGCAGTGTATATGAAAGACAAATCTGATCAGGAAGAACAGACACAGAAACTTGGAGTGTTTATCTTCTGTAATCCTCTTTGCTACGGTATCTTTAAGAAGTAAGATAATGATGGCACTTCATTTACAGAATACTTAACTTAGCTAGATGTTTTGTGCACTTTTTTTTTGGTTCCCTTTATTTAATATTAAAACATGTATTTTAGAGCCATTCACACAAGTTCTCCCCTCAAAGCTCTACATTTAACTTACAAAAATCAGCTTCAAAACATTACATATCAAATTGTTTGGCAAAAATTCTGGATAGTAGGCAGACCCAAGAGGACCATGAAGCAGTATTATCTGTGGAAATGCATATGGTTTGGGATGTTGTGAAGTTTTGAACTTTGATCTATAGACTCCAACAGATTGTACTTTGCAGATTTAGATGTAGAATGATGCAATCTTTTACGTCCACTTTCTTAGCTGTAAAATATAATTGCTTTGTCTATTAATAGTTATTAAATAATTACTAAGCACTTAGTAATTATTTAATGTTAGTATTTGCTGAAAATAGTGCATGGACTAACGTGTTTATTAAGGAGAAAGAACAACTATGAATTCAATCCGAAACAAGGCATTTTCTCTTTACTTTCTCCTTCCCTTCCTACTTTTATAAAAAACTTTGCTTGTATTGTTATTAGAATAATCTCTCTCATTTCAGGGTGCTTAGTGTTTCTTTTGGTCTTTCCTTTAGGTTGGCAAATAAACAGGACAGAGAAGGAGCTCTGTCAGAAGCAGATGTAATTGAGTCCTTATCTCTGGAAAAGCTTGTCAATGAACACAAGTGTCTATGTCAAATCGTAAGTATATTTTAAGATTCTTCATTTTCTAATATATATGTAAAACTTGAGTAAGGTAGGAGATTGTGCCACATAGCATAAAACTGAAAGTAAAACCTTGCAATCCCTGCAAAGATACAGTCTGTACATCTGTTTGGCAAGCAGTTGTTCTGTTCAGCTTGACATTCTGTTTCTGGATCTGTAAAAGAAATCTTTATAACAAGTATCCTCAAAGCATACCTGCTGGTCCATTCTGAAATCATGTCAGAATAATTAATTACTGATGTGGTTCTAAACTTGTTTAAGTGAGCAGTAGGTTTAGCATTCCACGTTTTCTAAAAAGAAACAAGAAATGGAATTTGCCTACATTGACATTCAGGAAGGATCACTGTTTGGATATGATGTTTGTCTTTATTTCTTTTCATAGCTGAAATTATCATTTAGTCTGAGTCACCATCTGGCAAACAGTAAGAACTTAATCTAGTTCCTAGGGCATCTAGTTTCCAGCACAGTACTCACCAACTAACACTGTTAGAACTAGTTACTAGTTAATATTTGTCCTAAAATAGCTACGTTTTAGATGTATTATTCACAGTCATGTTAAAAAAAAGATTAAAAAAATACAAGGGATGAGGGAGAGCCAGAAACAGAAATCTCTTCGAAAGCTACTTAGGATTGGTTAATTTTCAGATAATATATCCAAATCTGTAGTGCCTGAGGTTTTCTGTAAGGTATTGTTTTTAAGCACGATGTGTAGGTGCTTTACCTTGTAGTATTTTTCAAATTGCCATAAGAAACATTTTTAGAGATAATGAGAATTATGCTGTTTTTAACCAACATTAGAAGGCTGTTTTCCAAACCATTCCAGCTGGTACTTGGGTTTTTGAAAAGACTTTTAATTCCCTAGGGAGAGTTGCAAAATTCTTGGGGTAATACATATTGTTATTTTTTTCTCTGGAAAGTTGAGTTATAATAAGCAGGGCATAGTTATGTTCATTATGTCATGACTTCAAGTGCTTTCTTTCAGTCAGTGGACTTTGCATTATCTATATGTAGCAATCATGAAAATAAAAATTGCAAGTTGGCGGGGTTTTTTTATTCCAAGGGACTCCTGGATCAAAAATATTTTCTAGCAAACATTATCAATATAAAAGACCGGAAAGGTCTAGTGTATTTTTCCAGTACTTTAGAATTACTTAATTAGCGACACATTCCAGTAAAATGCTGTTCTTGTTCTCTCTTTATATCTTGAGTGTAGCCAACAAAGAAACGAGATTAGCTCCTCTAAATCATTTTAGCTGAAAACAGCTGAATCTTACGTACTCAAATAGGCAGTTTCTTTACTAGGCTCATTAAAGTTAAACAGGGTCCCACGTTATTTCAACATGATGATTTATGGGGTTAATTTAAACAGGTGTGTTGTGAAACAAGATATAAATAAAATCAGGCAAGGATCAAAAAACCCTTTTTTTTTTTTTTTGCTCTTATTCTTTTAATTGCTTTTCTACTGGATCTTTACATTTCCCCACAAAATATTATAGCAAATTGAGGGAGTTATTTGTTTAACTGTCATACAGTGCAGTGGGAATGACCTTCCTCTTTTTCCTTTTTAGTATGTCTGTATATTCTATATTTAGAAATTTCTATATTTTATCACTGAACTTCAGCAACAGTAATCTTGGTGCAAACCAAGAAGAAAATTGCCCCAGTGCTGTCTATTGTTTTATCTTAGTTTTCCCAGAGAAAGAAGGTATTATTGCCTATACATCTTCTCCCTGATTAGATTCTGCTAGAGAGTATTTTAGTGTTCCATAAAGAACAACACTCACATTTGAACCTTAATTTAGACAAAGTAGGAACATACTAAAATGCAAACTAGGTTTGTCACTCTGGGGGAACATAACAGGTCAGAATTATTTCTTTTTGCAAACTGTGCATACCATATCTGACCATTTAGGTGCCATTTAGGTGCTTGTCAAATGAAGAGGTAACACAGAAAAATTTCTAGGTATTGACATTGGAGAATTAGGGTTTTTTTAATATTTGTTCATTCATGGACACAAATCCTGAACACAATGAGTGTGAAGTATCATTTCTTCATGTCAAATACATAGCTGGATCTATTCAATTTTTATTCAGATAACATTTTAAAAGACCCATACAGTGTTTCAAAACATTCTGGAAAATAGTTCTGAAGAGATCTGGAGAGGTAATCTCGTCCTTTTCAATGTTCTAAGGTAGAATCGATCTATATCTCTTTTGTTCCAATTAAAGCCCGTTATACTTGTCCTCCTGGCAATGAACACAAAGGGCAAATTATTCTTTTCATGTTTGCATTTGTTTGCATTTATGCCTTATGTTTTTGAAGCCTATTACCACATTTTCTTGAAGTTTTTTTTATCTCAAGACAACCACTCTTATTCCTTCAATATTTTCTTACCAGATGTGTTTTCATAACTATTTTTTTATTCTCTGCTTTTTTGCAATGTGATCCTCTTGGTTCTTTCTGGTTAATCCACTTACTTGAATTATTGCATCCAAGCTAGATAAACCCATTGCTAAATTAGTTTGGAATACTTTTGCATCCATCTTCCAACAGATTTCCCTAGATCATGTTTCTCTTGCTGCTGCAATATATATGACAAAATATAATATAATGAATATAATAACAAAAGTTTTACTCCAGTCAAGATGCGTAGTTTGCTTTACCCCATCAACAATACCTCTTCTGATCTAAAAAACTGAAATGATGTCAGTTTTTCTGACAAATTTACACTAGATTTTATCTAATAGGTGCTTATGAAAGGCAAACATTTTTTTCATGAACTGAAGCTAAGATGGTTCTCTTGCAACTAATTTTTTCCATTTTACTAAATAAATATAACATGAACCAGCAGCAAAACAGAACATACATATTTGGGATTAATAAATTATATTTCTATATAGATGCATAGATATGGATGTATAAAGAAGCAAGTGTGTAAAATATATATATATATACACACACATATGTTGCAGGTGTATATGTAACAGCTGTGTATATGTATCTCTGGAATCATGTTTTTCTATGCAGTATTCTAGTATTTTTGAAATCGGACCGGAAATAATAAAATTTGATAGAACTAATGTGATTTGTATCATGACAGAAAGGCACCTAAATTTATAGACTATCTAAGTGCAGAATTATTTCCCATAATTCTCAGTGTTTTGCAGGCTTCAAAATAAACAGAAATCATTTGGCTGATTTCTTGTTTTCAGTCAAGGAATATGATCTGAACTGCAAATAATTTTCCTCTCCTTCTCCTTATGCTTACAGGAACCTTGCTCAGCTATCATGGGCTGTGGGAAAAAAATTGATAAGTCAATAAAAAAGGGTTTATATTGGCTTCTGCATATCATAGCAAAAGATTTTGATGCCTTAAATGAGCGCATCCAAAGAGACACTTCAGAACAAAAAGCATATGAAGAACAAAAGAAACTAGAACGAGCTGAGCGAGTGAGAAGGATACGAGAAGAAAGGTATTCTCTCTGGAATTTTTCCTACCTCCCCTTCCTCCTTTTCTCCAAGATACTCATTTCATTCCTATGGGAACCAAGCTATGAAGGATTCAAAGCTTAGAAACCAAGAGTCTCCATATTAAAAGAATGGACCTGAATGCTAGAACCTTTCTTTAAGACCTACAAGTTTTTGCCCGGTTCATCCCCTTTTTTTATTCTCTCTATGCTGGAAATGTACCATGAATTAGAATTGCAAGATAGTTGTGGAATAAGTTTGGCATTGCTGATGTAACTTCTCAGGAGGCTAACCTAAAAAATAAAGCCTGTCATTTAATCTTAAGTTACCTTCAAGTGTGTTCTAAAATAAACAAAGTTAGACTTTGTAACCCATATGTGAATATCAGGAGCTAGATGTGAAACTGTGTTCACCGCTACGCTTAATAGATTTTGGGATATCCAGCAGGTGAGGAATGGAGAGACTTGAGATACAAGGAGGGGAAGCAGGACAAGTGATTTATTACTTCCTTTCAAAGCCCTTTGTCGTCATCAGCAGCCCACCATGATTCCTATTAGAGGCTAATGTGAATCATTTTACTGGGGCATTCTTAAAAAATTCACTGAGCACCCCTGTCCCCCTATCTTTCCTTTATATGCAGAGATTTGTGAGTCTTGGTTACTGTGATAAGCCACTGTGAAATGTCTTGGCTCGTGCTCTTGCTCCTTTGGTTTACTTCAGCAGATAAATTACTTAAGCACATTTTAAGCACCTGGAATTTGACACAGTCTTTATATATATTTCACAAACTTATAAAAAAAATCATATGCTGTTAGTCTGCCAGGTGTCTCTGCATGGACAAAACCTTCTGACCAGGTTTGATAGCGTTGGCTTTATGCCATGTAATAAGGTGTAGCAACAAGGACTTACTCTGAAACATGCCTCAAAAGACTGCGGGTTGATGAGGATATTTTTCATACGTTCTGTTCCCACTCAGTGATCTTGACTGTATTTGTTCACTGGGAGAATTGGTTAGGTCTGAATTGGATTAAAGGCTTACAAGTTTTGCTACGCTTCTGCTGTCTTAGAGGAAAGCTAACTAGTAGCTTCTGCTGGTTTTACCTGTAGCTGAGGGCTTGTCTCGCAGCTAACAAATGGCATAAACTCTCATTTTGCTATTTTGCATCAAATCGATTTCTTGCTGTAAGAAACAGGTTAATCTTGATTCAAGTGTAATTCTTTTGTCCTGTGTTTTAATAATTCCCCTGACTGCTTTTTGTTCATATTTGCTTCCCTGAATGTTTTCTCAAAGCATATTTGCTCTGTGGTATATTAGTAGCAATTGTCTTGTTCCAAATGGAATGCCAGAGAGAGAGAGGGTGTCAGTAAGTTTTAAAGTAGCACTGGCCATTCCTCCCAAGCAGTACAGTCTCACAGGTAGGTCAGTGACCTTCTTTCATCCCCATCTAAACCTCTGAACTGTGGGGTTGCTGTATTTGCAGCTGTAAAGTAGGTGTAAAAGCAACTTTCTGTGCGCCAGTGCCATCAAATCGATTTATGAGAAGTATTTGATGAATGTATACTTTATTGATGAGATATTATTGAATGCGTAGTAGTGTAGTATTTCTTGCATAGAGATCTGGTACATAAAAAATAACTAGTGCTGGTACAACAACAGTATACAGAGCATTTCGTGTCTTTCTGAATTTTTCTGAGTCTAGTGGAAGCATATGTGATTCCCTAACTGTTACTACATAAACTGAACAGTCTGCTGCCACTTCTCCCTTATGTATATTAAGAAGAATCTAGAATTATGAGAAATGGAGGTGTATTAGAAATTGAAAAATAGATTTTTAGATTGTCTGGTTTCCCACCTCACAGATACTTTGTTTTATTTTATTTTTAATACCTTGAAACAATTGTTAGAAAGGATTACCCGTGTGAAAATTTCTGCATGAAAATTGCAGCATACTGTTGAATAAACAAAACCTTATAGCTGCAGATGTATACTGTCACATATCCTGTCCTCAGAAATTGCTCCTGCTTCCTGAAGCGCTGATTGAACATTCTGACACATAGCAGCATTTGTTTCTACCCCTGCCATAACATGTACTTGTGCTTTATTGATGTTAGCCTGTCATTGTGATTTCTGTAGAGTGTTTTTCAAGCTACAGAAGGATGTTGTAAAAATCACCTGACACAAATTGGAGGATGAGTTAGGTGACCTGAAGTTTTTTCTATGATGTAAAATCTATAGCTTGACTTCGTCATAGTTCTCTGTTCATCCCCTCTCTTTCTCCCCCTCTCGTCCTCACCTCACCCCCAAAATAAAAACCCCAAACCAAACCCTCTAAAACAACAAAAACAA